ACTTGTTATTGAGGTTATTTGTCGAGCACACCAGGGCTATGAGAGTGGGGTGTTTAGCTCTAAAGAGGGTTGCTGCAGCAGGCCCTAGGGAGGTTTCTTTGGTTTTGTTCCAAACCTAAGGCCAATGTTCCGAGGTAGGAAGAGTTTTTTTTTTTTTTTTTTCTTTTTTTTGGTCGTCTTAACCTAAAGGATTGTCTTAGGTAGGTTGACTGTTTCATAAGCTTTTTGTACATTTTTTTTCTTTTCTATAGTCTAAGCTACTAAACAAAATTGAAATTAGCTAACACCTCTTAATAATTAATTAAACAAGGCTAGTAATTTTTCAAATCAATTCCATAACCAAATCCCAAGGCGTAAAGCATCTTCATAATAAAACAAAACCATTTGTGCCAGCAAATTGCATTTAACTTCTACGTGTGACCTCATTCACAACCACCAAATTCTTACCCTGACCATTTAATCTTACAGTATAAGCCATGCAAAGCCCAAAATTTCTTATAAATTTCCCTCCTCACAACTCCAATTCTCACCATAATTAAACACAAATTTATATAAACTACTTTCAATTTCTCAGCAATGGCAAAGCTCGTGATTCTCCTATCTGCCTTCGCAGTCCTCCTCCTGGTGCCAACGCCTCCATCTACCGCACCACTGTGGAGTTTGAAGAAGACTCAAGCCGTGGGCAGAGTTGCCAAGAGCAGTTCGAACGGCAGCAGCGATCAGGAACTGTCAAAGGTACGTGCAACGGAGATCCAGGGGGGACGCCGGCTCAGTTCTGACGTAACCAGAGACAACAATGCTTCAAACAATGCTGCCAGGAGTTGCAGGAAGTAGACAGAAGGTGCCGCTGCCAGAACCTAGAGCAAATGGGTGAGACACCAGCAGCAACAGAGACAGCTCAGGGTGAGGAGGTTGAGGAACTTTATGAAACAGCCAGTGAATTGCCTCGCTTGTGCACATTTACCCAGCCAGGGATGCAGCTCAGTTCACCCTACTAGATTCAGTCCATGAAGATGTGCATCAAGTGTAGTAGTAGAAGAAATAAAGTTCCTTGCAGCTCTGGCATTTAGCTGGAGATTAAGGGGTGAATAAGCAGTATACTAGAATCAGCAATTATCGTGTGTGTTAATGAGTAGAGGAATGTAATCGATCGAGTTTTTTAATTAATAAGAGTGCTGATTTATCTTTAATTATATCAAGACTCGACACCCTTCTCTTGCTCCACTTCTAATGCCAATTCAAATTAAAATAAGATACTCAAATATCACATCATTGAACTCCGCTCTTCATATCAAGGCTTTATTTTGCTGTTATTAAATCTACGAGATACAAAAATAAACTTATTAATCTCCTTATTAGTTGTTGTTATCCGCTTGTGTTTCTTATTAGTTTTTCCATACTTATGTAATTGGTTTAAGCTTTATATTTATGATCCATTCAGAGGATCATTAATTAATCTCCTTAATGACAAAGATATTAAAAGGAAAAACGCAGTCACAAAAGGTTGCTGTTTGATGGTGTGGTCGCCGCATATATATGCTGTCAGGGAATATATGGATATTAAACAGCTATGCGAATGCTGACACCATAGTAATAATATGCATAGAGAATCGACATTTAGAGAGGATCATTAAATCTTGTGATATAATATCAGAATTGGACTTCAGGGACAAAATAATAATTAATTGAACACAGGACACATAAGGTTTTGTAAGGTTTCGCATGTATGCTTAGGTACGTGGAAGATGAGATGATTAGGCTTCGATGCGGTGGCTCTGCATGGTTCGGTTGTTGAATTTATACTTACAGGTGGATCACTGCCAGCAAAAGTGGCCACAAACTAAAAATTAGGTTTTTGTTTGGTTGTCAAATGATTTTTGGCTCATCTTCGAAGTGCAGTTAATTAGGTTAGTTAGTTGCCTTGTCGAATTGCTGCCTGGACGCCACCGAGTGATAGGTGGCGCTTGCCGGTGATGCACATATTGGAATAAACTGATTTTGTTTGCTCTCTCAGCTATCCTTTTGAATTATTTACAAATGAATCTATCTTGTGGTCAATCGACATTAACTCATAGCATCGGACTTCAATGAAATCTAGTTTTAAGCAGGTAAAGTGTATCATTACAGTGTTTGTACTGTAATTTGTTATAGAATATATCAAGAACACTCTTGAAATAAAAACTATGGAATACTAATATGTATTACAATAACTTTGCCAAATAACACATCCTTATATAATTAAAAACAAAGCTAGTAAGTTTTTAAATCAAATTCCATAGCCAAATCTCAAGGCGTAAAGCATCTTCATAATACAAACAGATACAAAAGCCCTGTGCCAACAAATTGCATGTAAAATTCTACGGTGATCTCCATTCGCTACTCACAGTCACCAAATTCTTACACGTATAAGCCATGCAAACCCCAAATCCCCTATAAATCTCCCTCTTTGGCTCTTTGCTACTCCATTTCTCCATTCAAAAACAAATTAGTATAAACAACTCTCCAATCCTAACAGCAATGGCAAAGCTCGTGCTCATCCTATCTGCCTTCGCAGTCCTCCTCTTGGTGGCAACGCTTCCATCTACCGCACCACTGTGGAGGTTTGGAAGAAAAACCCCAAAAAAAAAAGCCGTGGGCAGAGTTGCCAAAAGCAGTTCGAGCAGCAGCAACGATTTAGGCACTGCCAAATGTACGTGCAAAAGGAGATCAGGGGGAGCCAAGGAGGACGCTGGCTCAGCAATGACGTTAACCAGAGAGAACAATGCTTCAAACAATGCTGCCAGGAGTTGCAGGAAGTAGACAGACGGTGCCGCTGCCAGGGACTAGAGCAGATGGTGAAGCACCAGCAGCAACAGGGACAGTTCAGGGGTGAGGAGATTCAGGAACTGTATGAGACAGCTTGTGAGCTACCTCGCATGTGCAACATTCAACCCATGCAGGGCTGTCAGTTCAGTTCACTATACGAGTCGTTTTAGGTTGAAGGCGATAAGTGGTAGATGAAAAAGTGCATGCAGTTAGTAGAAGAAATAAACTCTACTGCCCTGGAGAACATTAAAGGGTGAATAAACTAGTAGTAGTCAGCACATTATCGTGTGTGTTAATGAGTTGAGGCACTGTAATGGAGTTTGTTTAATAAAAGTGCTCGGTTTATCTTTACATCGACACTCAACAGCCTTTGATTCTTGTTGATTATAACGCCATTTCCCTAACGATCCCTTCACTTGCATCATCTTATAATGACAATTCATATTAAAGTAAGAACTTAAATAGCTGCAGGTTCACCGAATTCCCCTCTTCATATCAAGTGCTTTTGTTCTTATTGAATTTACCAGCTACTTTCTTGAAGTATAAAGTTTAACTGGATCTCTTCACATGTGACTAAATAGTAAATATAATAAATTTAAATGTTAAAACATTAATATTTCGGGAATGATCATCACGTTGAGATGGCCGAGTTGGTCTAAGGCGCCAGATTAAGGTTCTGGTCCGAAAGGGCGTGGGTTCAAATCCCACTCTCAACATTATTTAAGTTGGGAAATTTTTATATTTTTGGAAAAGTTCTCGTGCTTAAAAAATGATAAAAAAAAAAAAAAAAAAAAGCAATATAATTGAGAGGTTATATAAATATTGTCCTAATTTAAGTTTTTAAAGATATATTTTAGTGTGAGTTTATTTTTATTCATATGTATTAAAATCAAATCCTTAAAGGTGAACATTTTGATTAAGAAGAATCTTAATCTCAAAAAATAGAAAAGTTTATATATATATATATATAAACTAAGTATTTGTTTAATCAAGTGTTTATTATTATTAATCGTAATATCATTTTATAAATGTAGGTATTATTTTATAAATTTATCATAGCGTCAGGATTTTTAATTATAAAAATGACAAGAAAGGTGTAAGTCTATAAGACATAGTTTAGTTTATCTTTCACCCCTTGAATTTAGAAATCTTATAAAAACACAATTATATGAAAGACAATTGTTGATGCGTGATTTTGACATCAACCAAATGTACGTGTGAAATACTGAGTGGGTCTAGAAGACACGCGTGAATGAAAAGAAAGAGATAAAAACAATAGAAAACATCGTTTAAAGTGGTTTGAATGCTAAGAAAGCAAATCCTATGTCTACTGAGTTTTGTATTAATGATAGAGGTCAGGTCGCGTTTAACGGACTGACTTACAAATGATTATATAAGAGAGAGAATGCTATATATTCTTAAGAGAGAGTAGCTAATAAAGAGTAGAATGAGCGAATCCCACAAACGAGAGAAGAGCCCTTAATTTATAGTGGGATGGATTAAGGTTATCATTACTAAATCTGTGAGTTAGTGGGATTATCCATGCAACTCCTTTTTTATGTCTCATTGCTCACCTTCCAGAGTGATTTACACGATTTGGTGTAGGGATTGGACACGTGGAATCATTATAGGTCCTGGTTGGTCTGACGTGCACCCACTGTCCTGACGCGAGCATGCTGTCCATGTCATTAAATGACATGGCGGTTTCTGACTGACTGCGGGCCTACTTAAGCTCTGATTTTTTATGCTGACTGAGTCTTGCATCAGTCCTATATTTTCAGGCATAACAACAATTAAATGGGTATCTCATTATAATTGCGGTTATGTTTTATGAAGTGTTATCTCGGGATATATAGTAAGGGATCCCTATAGTAGCAAATATTGTAGTAATAATATCTGAGGAATTAAAACTTATTGAAAATAATTCTCTGTTTGATTAATTGAAAATCATTTTTGAATGACTCCCAAAGCAATGGCTCCGGCCTCTTTTCTCCTATCTAAAGAGAATAAATAGTACTTGTGCCAGCAATTGCATGAAAAATCTACGTGTGACCATGAGTCAAAACCACCAACTCCTTCACCTGAACACCAAATCTTACACGTTATCGCCATGCAAACCCCTTACTCTCCTATAAATTCCCTTCACCACCACTCCAAATCCTCACCAAGAGCCCACAAAAACAGACAATACAGAAATGGCAAAGCTCACTCTCCTTCTAGCTTCCTTCGCCCTTTTCCTCCTCGTTGCCAATGCCTCCATCTACCGCGCCACAATCGAGATTGACGAAGAGAACCCCAGCGGCCGGCAACAGAGTTGCCAAGAACAAATCCGAAGGCAGCAGCAGCTCAGGCACTGCAAGATGCACCTGATGCAGGAGGTTCAAGGCCAACAATCCTGGGCCAGCCGTGACATAGTCAACCCACAACAACAACACCTTCGACAATGCTGCCAGCAATTGCAGGACTTGGACAACAGATGCCGATGCCAGGGATTGGAGCAAGTGGTGAAGCAACAGCAGCAGCAGGGACAACTCAGAGGTGAGGAGATTAGAGAAGTCATCGAAATCGCCAGTGAGATTCCTAGTCGGTGCAACATTCAACCCAGGGAAGGGTGTGACTTCCGTTCACCTTACTAATTATCTTTTTAGTAGAGAATGTGCAGAAAACAATGTGTAATAAAGTTCACTTGGTGCTTTGGCATTTTGGCTGGAGAGTAGGGTGACTTAGAGCTAGTAGGAATAAGCACATTATCGTGTGTGTGTGAGAGTGAAGTGTTTGTACGTAGAGTTGAGAGGCTATGTAATCGAAAGTTTCTTTAATGCACAAAGAGGTTCTAGTTTATCTTCTTGCATATTAAGAGCCTGTTGATTTGGTTAATTAACTCATATATATATATATATATATGCATGGTTCAAGGTAATAATTAATCTGGTGATCTTAATGATACATGTAATTAGGATAATGATCCGTTCACAAAACTTAAATAAAATTCCCCAAGGCGAAGGGAAGATCGAAATTCAACTTCTGAGCCGAAAAAATGTGAGAAGGAAGTGAAGAAGAGGAGTTGAAGTAATTGCCTTCTGGAGTTTGAAGGGAGCTCGAATATATGTACCATATTTTAACCTATATAATACAAAGCTGAAGTTAATGNTCCAGATGAATAAAAATTCATTCATAAATCACAAATCAAAATCAAAAGGAATTTTTTAATGATCATGACATAACACAAAATCAATCAGAATTGATGATCGGTCGGTAAACAATTAGCCCCGTCCTATCAATAAAAAGTTTTTCAGCAGTTCTAAATCAAAATTCACGATCTTTCAAGCAAATAATCAAACAGATCAAAAACATGAAACCTCGAAAAGACGTACCTATAACGTATAATTATTCATAATCTCCAGATCAAATACATATTTATCAAAAATCTAGATCAAGCATTATGATTCAACAAATCAATTAAGATAATTACAGTACAAAATAGAAAATTACCTTGAAAAGCTTGATTCCAACCTTGAATGACAGAAAATTTTTGTGAGAAATTTAGAGAGGACGATTTCGATATGCATTGGCTAGGGTTATGGCTCTTATATTTATAGTGGAGATAACCGACCTAATGAGGAACTGAAAAGAAAACAAATCCAATGAGATTGTGCCACGTGTTAAAATTGGCCAGCACGCCAAGATTGGTCCAGATTCTTTTATTCTTATCGTGAACGACGGGTCTTAGTAGAGACTCCACCTCAACGTTCTTCCAATGCGAGTTTGACACGGGAAATCTACACGATACTTCAAAACGGCAGGTCGTTTTACAGTCGGATTATTACTCTAATTTTGGAATTGTACAACAATTCACAGTAAATTGAAAAATAAATAAATAAAATAAAAGCTTGACTGTCGCTTTACATGTAAATGAGAATTTTAATATATCAGCTTTCTTCAATGTTTGAGTTTGAACCGTAAGCAAAGGGTTGCTTCGAGTGTTGGTACAGATAAGCACAAAGTCTTTGTCCAGGATCAAAGTTATTATGTGGGCAATTTTGAAATAAAAAGCCATTTTTAGGATCTTGAAGATGGCTTTTCTTAGTTGTCTAAACTTTGAGTTGAACCCTACTGGAAGTTTAATAAACGGCTCAACTGTGAGGAAATCCTATTGCTCCACATGATTCTGCCCCTTCTTGTATTTTCTACCCATGGTTTATGTGCTCCTAAACGTCCATGATATAAGACTTGTGTCTGTAGGTTCACAAAAGTTTTCTATTGGCAGGAGTTTGCAGTTCTATTTGATTAATGATGTACATATTGGGCGGTCTTGGAAAATTCATTTCATTTTATGAGTCTACGTCTCCAATTGCATTTTAATAAACATAGACTTCAATTTCAGATATAAGACCTGTATCCTGATTCACCACCCTCTTTTATCATGTAACAAATTTCTATAAAATTCTTAAACCCCAGAAAAGTAATTTATAACCCGAAGGACAAAACTGTTTCATAAGGATTGACTACAGGATTAACTTCCTCAAAAGATTGGTACTCGATGATTTCACGAACGAAAACAAGGCTGTTATTATTAACTCAGGCAAAGCAAACAAATAGGCATTGGCTCAAGTGAGATCATACACCAAGGATATATACTAAGCGCCATAATATGTATTTATTTAATATAAGTTCTTAGAACTGATATACATGATCTAAAGAACGCCCATATCAGCATCTAAGAAACACAGCGCAAAAAGCATAAAAACTAAAAAACTTAAAATAGAGTTTTTACAACTTATTTAAGACATTAAATATTGGCCAGCGGCCAGACCACACCACACAAACAACCACATATCCAACATAATGGAAACAAACCAGATTCAAATAAGCACATGACCAATTCAGAAACCCCCACGGAGACGGAGCACAAGATGCAGGGTGGACTCCTTCTGAATGTTGTAATCAGCAAGGGTCCTTCCATCCTCAAGCTGCTTCCCAGCAAAAATCAACCTCTGCTGGTCTGGTGGGATCCCCTCCTTATCCTGGATCTTAGCCTTAACATTGTCAATGGTATCTGAACTCTCAACCTCCAAGGTGATTGTCTTACCAGTGAGGGTCTTGACAAAAATCTGCATACCACCACGGAGACGAAGGACCAAGTGGAGTGTGGATTCCTTCTGGATATTATAGTCTGCAAGTGTCCTCCCATCTTCAAGCTGCTTACCAGCAAAAATGAGCCTCTGCTGATCTGGTGGGATACCCTCTTTGTCTTGGATTTTGGCTTTCACATTGTCAATTGTGTCAGAACTCTCAACCTCCAAGGTAATGGTCTTCCCAGTGAGGGTCTTCACAAAAATCTGCATACCACCTCGGAGACGAAGAACCAAGTGGAGGGTTGACTCCTTCTGAATGTTGTAGTCAGCAAGAGTACGACCATCCTCAAGTTGTTTACCGGCAAAGATCAGCCTCTGCTGGTCCGGTGGGATGCCCTCCTTGTCCTGTATCTTGGCCTTAACATTGTCAATAGTGTCAGAGCTCTCAACTTCCAAGGTAATGGTTTTTCCAGTAAGGGTTTTCACAAAGATCTGCATACCACCCCTGAGTCGAAGGACCAAGTGAAGGGTGGACTCCTTCTGGATGTTATAGTCAGCAAGTGTGCGTCCATCCTCAAGTTGTTTGCCAGCGAAGATAAGCCTCTGCTGGTCTGGTGGGATTCCTTCCTTATCCTGAATTTTGGCTTTGACATTGTCAATGGTGTCAGAGCTTTCCACCTCAAGGGTGATTGTCTTTCCAGTGAGGGTTTTCACGAAGATCTGCATACCACCCCTTAGACGGAGGACCAAGTGAAGGGTTGACTCTTTCTGGATGTTATAATCTGCAAGTGTACGCCCATCCTCGAGTTGTTTACCAGCAAAGATAAGCCTTTGCTGGTCTGGCGGGATCCCTTCCTTGTCCTGAATTTTGGCCTTGACATTGTCAATGGTGTCAGAGCTTTCAACCTCAAGGGTGATTGTCTTTCCGGTGAGAGTTTTTACAAAGATTTGCATCTACAGACAAAACAAACACTAAATCAGCATACAATAACACAAAGCAACAGAAGCAACCACAATAAATCACCTACCATGTATTCTTCAAAAATACGTAGATCATCATCAACATATATATAGTCTCAAAGAACATATTCGCTATACTGTGTAAAGCTTTAAATGTAAAATTAAATAAATTGTGATAAACAATTAACAAGAAATGATTTCTTGGGAAACATAGTCAGAGTAACTCCTTCATGGATATTGTATCAGCCAACGTGCGCCATCCTCCAGTTTGCTTCCCAGCAAAGATCAACCTCTGCTGATCCGGAGGAATCCTTCCTTATCCGAATTTTAGCTTTAACATTATCAATGGTGTCCGAGCTCTCAACCTCCAGGGTAATGGTTTTTCCTGTCAGGGTCTTGACAAAGATCTGCATTCCTCCACGCAGCCTCACACCAAGTGCGTGTTGGATTCCTTCTGAATATTGTAACTGCGGGTCCTTCCATCTTCAAGCTGCTTGCCAGCAAGATCAACCTCTGCTGTTCTGGTGGGATGCCCTCCTTTTCTGAATTTTTGGCCTTCACATTGTCGATCGTGTTCTGAACTTTCACCTCCAAAGTGTTGTCTTCCCAGTAAGAGTCTTGACAAATTTTGCATGCCACCACGAAGACGGAGGACCAAGTGAAGGTTGACTCCTTCTGGATGTTTAGTCACAAGGTCCTACCATCTTCAAGCTGCTACCAGCAAATAAGCCTCTGCCTGATCTGGTGGGATGCTTCCTTATCTTGGATCTTAGCCTTCACATTGTCTATGGTGTCTGAACTCTCCCACTTCCAAAGTGATGTTTTTTCCAGTCAAGGTCTTCACGAAGATCTGCATGCCTCCCCGCGACGAAGCACCAAGTGCAGGTGGACTCTTTCTGAATATTGTAGTCAGCAAGGGTCCATCCATCTTCAGCTGTTTGCCGCAAAGATCAGCCTCTGCTGTCTGGTGGAAGTGCCTTCTTGTCTTGATCTTTTGCTTTCACATTATCAATAGTACTCTGAACTCTCACTTCCATTGTAATAGTCCTTTCCAGTTAAAGTCTTCACAAAGAGTTGCATACCACCACGAGACGAAGCACCACAGTGGAGAGTTGACTCCTTTGGATATAATTATGCGGCAGGTACGGCCATCATCAAGCTGCCTCCCAGCAAAGATCAGTCTCTGTTGGTCGGTGGGATACCTTCTTATCCTGATTTTGCCTTCACATATCAATAGTATCAGAACTCTCAACTTCAAGGTAATAGTTTTTCCAGTAAGGGTCTTCACAAAGATTTGCATCCCACCCTAAGACGGAGCACAATGGAGGGTTGATTCTTTCTGGTATTATAGTCTGCAAGGGTGCGGCCATCATCAAGTTGCTTGCCAGCAAAGATAAGCCTCTGTTGGTCCGGAGGAATACCTTCCTTATCCTGGATTTTGCCTAACATTGTCAATAGTGTCTGAACTCTCGACTTCCAAGGTGATGTTTTGCCAGTGAGAGTTTTCACAAGATTTGCATCCACCCCTGAGACGCAGAACCAAGTGGAGAGTGGCCTCTTCTGGATGTTGTAGTCTGCAAGGGTTCGGCCATCATCAAGTT